CTATAAAAGGAATAAAGTATTTTGAGTTCTGGCTGCAGCAAGTGGAACTTCACCCAGACAGCTTTTTTCATCAACATGGAAAATCCCTCCTCGAAAAAGGATTCATTTACAAAAAACAAGAGCAATTCAAACCACCCATTAACATGCACAAAGTGATTCAAATTTACCCCCAAAATGACCTTACAACTTTTAATATACACATCTAAGTTTAGGCACCTCTGTAGAAGACCACAGCTGTTAAACCAGACCTTATAACACCACGCAAGAGCAAACCCTTTTCATTTAGAAATTAAATCATCGCAGGGTGCAGCGCTACGCCATTCTGAAACAGTTTCAAGCCATATTTCTGAAACTCCGGGCTCAGAGGCACAGCTTTGCAGACAGGGCACATAAAACCCTGACAGAGCCCTTACTGGGAATAAATAATGGTGCCTATATCTAGAAAACAATACCAGCCTACACACCGCTTGATAAATATCCACTATTAAGAAGCTCCAGCGTTTCACAAGCATAGCAGATAACTAGCAGTGATCGCGCTGTAATCCATTTTAATTCACATCGCAAAGTGCTTTTTCTCCTTTCAAGAAAGTCTTTCTGCAGCCCAGCAGTTGTAAGCAAAGTTACAGGTCTCTGAAAACGCACAGCTGAAACAGGATTAATAAATTGTGTTTTCAAACCTCTTACAAATTCCTATCTTTATTAAAGTCGGCACACCTTCACCGAAACACAGCCATTTTCATCCAGACCAGTCCATAACAGTAAATGTTTAGCTTACCCAGCCGCTGCCTGGGACACAGCACACCAATCCAGGAGGAAGACCCCACTGAGGATGGACGGCCACCTTCCACCAGCCCAGGGCCCAACCTCCGCTCCTAAAGATGTGCAGCACCTGGTGGGATATTACCCCCTTTAATACCCGACAGAGCAGCCCTGGGGCTTTGCAGGTGGGCTTCGTTCTGGGGCAAACTCAGCTCAGCTGGTGAGCACGGTGAGATGCCTGAAGGTAAGTGGTGGCTCTCAGGAGCACGGGGCATCTGGAAAGCCCCAAAACAAGAGCAAGAAGCCCAGGGAGATCCAAGGTATTCTGAGTAGGACAGAGCCTCCGATGCTCCTCTGGGAAAAAAAACCCCACAGCCCTGCCAACAAAATTATGAAAATAAGCGCTAATATTATGGCATCTGTGTAACATCTGAGACAGGGGTGAAAAGGCATGAAAAATACCAGAAGAGAGGTGGTTTTCTCTGGAAATCAGAACAGCTTTGTAACCTCGTTAGAGCTGATTGCGACATGATTTGTGCCAGTTCGGCACTGCCCTGACCCCACTCCAGGTACTTTATTTACTTTGAGATGAAAGCCATGGCACAAAGCAAAGCTCTATCAGATAGGGGCTTTATCAAAGTCTCAAGAATGGTTTTCCTTCCCACCAGCATCCTCTGTTTTCTGAGGTTCGGAAGAGTGTTTACAGCAAGGAGTCGGGACTGCTCAGGATCCATCCATCTGATATCCCTCTCTCTCCCCTGATTTTACACAGAGGACTTTGCTGCCTAACTCCGGGCTCCAGTAAGTTTTTCACTAGCGAGGCACCCAAATCCTTCTGTAGATTTAGCCCTCAACGTCCTAATTAAAGAAGCAGCTGCTTTTTATGGCCTTATGTCAGC